CCACGGCGGGAGCTGCGCCAGGAATCCGACAACCAGGAGGACCACCGCGAAGATGTACACCCCGGCGTTGATGTACTCCCACCGGTTGCGCAACGCCGTGCCGGACCCCGCGCCGGCGCCGAGGCTGTATGCGCAGCACTCGCGCGCCGTCGCCAGCTTCACCATGGCTGTGCGGCCCCTGACCAGCCTCACTGAAATGGAGTGCAGGTGAGATGGTGGTATTGGTAGCTAGGCGGAGTCTCGGGGACGGACGGCGAGGATAGAAGAAAGGAGAACGAAGGCAGCCTGGTGGTCTGGTCACCATCCTAGCTACGAGTAGTTTGGTAAGCGCGCGCGCTGGCTCGAGGTGGCGGCCATGGCGGATACGTGGCAGCATGCATGCAGCGCCAGGTGAAGAGACACGAATGACTTTTTGATTCGTCACGCTCGTGTTGCTGAGTAGAATATGGGAATTCTTCTATGGTCTTCGAGAAAGGTGAACAGCAGGATGACACGACGAGCGTCCGTGAGGCCACCTCCCCTTGGCCGATGGGCGCTGGCTGCTGCTGCTTTTCATTGCCCAACTGGGCAACTTTAATTGTGCAACTTCTAAATACAAGTTTTCAATTTAGTTTTGAACTTCACCACGAAAGGAATCCTCATGAAAAGAATGAGTCTAGCTCGTTTCCAGTTTCTAGAGAAGTTAAATAATTTTGAATTTAATATGAATAGCTCTATAATACTAAAAAATCACATATAGTTTCTATGTCTATTAATTTATATACAAAATAACCTTTTTTCAAGTTATGTATTTTCTCTACATCATCTGCCTATCATATTTCTTTATATTTTCACTCTTGTGTAAACATAATTTGTTATCTAAAAAACTATTTTGTTCTCTCTTTTTTTAATTGCCACGCTACAACATCTTTCTTTTACTTGGCACCGTAATAAATGAATATAGAAACTTAGTTTTTTTAGTTGGGAGTGCCCTAATATATATAAAAAACTATTATCTATATATTCTTATAAAGCTAAACTTCACTGAATGTTTTATGTCTTAATGCAAGGTGTTCACATCATTCCCCACAGAGTGTCCCATTAAGAGCAACTCCAAGAGACAATGTAAAAATATATTCTAAAACTAGAATTTAGCCATTCTCTAAAATAAATAGCATAAAAAAACTATAGTGCCGCAACATCTATCCATGTCATCCCTTATTAATTACAAAAAAAATATCCACATCGTCTAATCTATTAATGTAAAGTCATCTATATATGATATTTGTTTCATCACCTATTCTTCTATAATGTGATCAAATATTCTATAAAATTTTCTTCTATTAGATTACCAATTTTTTTACCAGGTTCGATACAATAAAATAACATGCAAGTCAAATTCATATATAGAAGGAGGTGCATCCATTGTTCAAGCGTGGCTGCAGAGACATGAAGACAATGATAATGGTGGTCTTTGCAAAGTTCAGCGCTTCCGGAATCGGATTGAGGCATAGCTTATAGTTATTTTCTGGTCGTTGGTAGCTCGTCCTAGATGGGCTAAAACCGTATTGCTTTATTCCACGTCTGGTTGTAAGACCTTGAGCCTTATGGCTTGTTTTGTGTTTGACGGTCAGTTGTATACCATCGTCGAATTGTAGAGACCGGAACTTTGTTCTATTATTAAAAAAAATATAATCTCTCTAATGGTGACTGGAGCAGACATGAAGGGGATATCTAATTTTGGGCGATGTTTAGGTTTGCAACTTCCTGAAACGGATATCTTTGTATCTTATTTCCTTAGAGGAAAGCAAACGTGAAAGTGAGGGTCGATGAAGCCTGTCGGCTTGAGTAACAAAAACATTGGTGAGAATCGCAACATTACATAGGACGGCCAGCGAGCGACCTCCCAGGGATGCGACATTCATGGCCTCACACAGGGCAGGTATGTAGGGCACATCCTCTCGTTGAGGGGTGGTTACTACGGCACATCCTCCCTGTGGCAGAACCGCCTAATCTAATGCCTCACAGGAGTGCTTGTCTTCCATTAGACACTAAGCACTCGAGGGAGAACACTAAATTACTCGGTTCCGTCGGGCACACCCTCAGGGGAGAACCCGAAGATCCACATTTTTACCATCAGGATCACAAATGAGAGAATAAAGCTTACATCATTCTTAACCATTTGTTACATTACTTTTAATACAACATCAGAGTATAACATTTATTATTATAACAGCGGAATGAAATCATAATATCAGAGTTATAACAATTTAATTGAATAGCGGAATATAAACATGTGATCAGTATTACAGCGGAAATGAATATCTATTCATGACATGATGAAGTGTTGATATATGAACTATGACAACAGGTTATAAACTTTCATTTATAAAAGCATTTGGTGACAGTGATAAATAACAACTACGATCGCAGCGTAAAGGAAATCCTCTCTGAGCCCACCAGGAGGAATCCACACACAAAGATCAGCTCAAGCATCCACCTGTCACCTGCAACAGGGGGAATAAAACCCTGAGTACTCAATTGTACTTAGCAAGACTTACCCGACAGGAGAAAAGAAAAGACTCCAAGGATATGCAAGGTTATCTGGTTTGTGGGTTGCATTTGCAGAAAGCATTACTAAGCGTGCGTCCTTATATTCGGTTCTTTATTAATAGCCGCATTGGTTCATTAACTAACCATTCTATGTAAGCACCTGTGCTACTTTCAAGCAGGTGGTAAGCAATCAGATTTCCTTTTCCATCTTTCATCTTCATCTTCAGTTCTTACTACGATGCTAAACCGTAGACAAGTCATGATCGGGATAGCCCGGCGATTCGCGAATCAATGCCCCCAGCTGGGTACCCCGAAAACACACGCCCCGCTTATACCCCAGGTACAAGCCGGACCAACCCGTCACTCTCCTGTCCCGGGTGTCCAGATCCCCGTCCAAACTGGGACTCCAAGCCCCCGCCCCTGAGTCCCGGACTCAGCGCGGTGCAAGGACCTCCTTCACCAAAAACAAACCCTAACAGTCGGTCCGGAAAGAGCCGGATCCGCGACAAGAGAGCAACAAGTCTTCCAAGCGCCCATACACAAGTATGTGCTCGGGATAATAAGTCTGTGACCTGCCTAGAGTCATATGCAACGATCGGTCCTTAACCGACCAGACAGGGAAAAACGGTGTAACCAAGCTATGACCCGCCTCCGCGGCGACACAACTTCTTACACCCACCAATACCCAAACCATATCCCTGCCCGGTCACCATTTTCCTTTCCACCATTTTATATATTCCTAGTGATAATCATATAGTAACATATTTCCTATATCTCACGAGTGACAGGCAATCACTCGACTTCTACCGGAGTCCTATAGCATAACAATCTACACGATCATGTCATACTAGTAAGACTCGTAGGATATATATATATATATATATATATATATATATATATATATATATATATATATATATATATATATATATATATATATATATATATATATATATGCAAGTGGGTTTCATTCAACTCCTTAAAACTTAATGCACAAATATTATTTAAACTGCAGAAAGTAGGGGTTATGCACCGAGGCTTGCCTGGGTAAGATATATATTAAAAGTTAGTATCTGCATCTTCCGATCATCCACCATCAACTGGATAGAAAGCCCATTGCATCATCTTCGGATTCCCAACCATCCTTCGATCGATCCGTTGATCCATCATCGTACCTATATGATATGCATGCGATGCAATGCAAAGATGTAATTAATCAACTGCAATCGTGACTCATAAAATACGACGTACGCCTCTCGAGTTAACGGGCTAGTTCTACGACGACCGTACTTAGGCTACATATACACGTTGTCGGATAAGGCGTTATTTCCCAACAATTAGTTTAGTTATATAAACCCAAGGTTGTTTCTTTATTCTATTCTATCGATTTAATCATTATTCGAAATAACACATCATTATCCATTTAGCAACTAATTATTCTAAAGCTACAAAAATTATAGTGAGCAGCTAATATTGTTAAGAACCTACTGTAAAGATTTCAGATCCAATGCTATTACCAATTTACCACTTAAATCCCTACAAGTTTATATTTTACAACATTAAGTACCTTAAATTAATTATATAGCTTCCAAGAATATTATCAAACTATGTGAACAAAATATACTAACAAATAGATCAATAGATCATGATTTTAGGAGACTAACAAAACTGGTTTCACATTTTTATGATTTTTCTACACTTTATTTTTAATTTTTGAAGAGCACTGATTTAACAAAATAACCGAAAACATACAAACAGAAAACAGGCCGAAAGGCCTAGCTCGGCCCGCAGGCGCGCACTGGCGCGGGCGGCCCAGCTCGCAGCGGACGGCCAGTGGCCCACCAAACGCGCGGGCGCGGACGCGGACGCGGCCCAGGCGACAGTAGCGACGGCAACTTTGTGAAATGGCCCTTTCTTTTACTTAAATTACTCCGCGGTACTAACATACTATTCACATGAGTCTAGTATTTTGCGTAAAGGACCCTGTATACAATATCTTCTTGGATTTATACCCTTGCTCACCATTTCTCAAAGCAGAGCATCGCAGAGGCAGGGGAACCGGCTGGCGGCGGTGCTGGCAGGGCGGCTGCGGCGATGATCGAGCACCGCGCGGCCGAGCCGGCAAGGCGTGCAGGGGCTCGGCGCGGGACAGCTCCGGGACGGGGGCGTTTCGTCGGCTCCAGGCAGCAGGCAGACCGGCACCGACGACGGCGGGCGGTGGCGCGAAAGGACAGCGCGGCTGCTGCGACGCGGACCATGGCTGGCGAGGCGCTGTAGCGGTCGCGACGGCCGGCGAGGGCAGCTCCTTGGCACCGGCTGACATGGCGCGGGAGCAGACGACGGTGAGGCAACCGCTCGGGAGAGCCGCGTGGCTCGGCGAGCGGGAGAAGCGCGGCAGCACTCCAGGGCGCGGGCGGTCGCGGCTCGGCCGGCTCGGCTTCGGCCATGGCGGGCGGTGCTAGCCCAGCATGGACCGCGGAAGAAGGCAGCTGTGCACAGGCGCATGGGAGAGTAGAGGGGACGCGTGGGCGCAGCGGCTCTGGCGTCGGTGGTTGGCCACGGCGGTGCGCGGGGTGGTGGCTGTGACGCCGGGGCGAGCAGGGAGCACCGGCGCTGGAGCGTTGCGGTGGTGCAGCACTGGGAGCGAGGTGGAGGCACGCGCGCGGCCGGAGGCAAGAGCAAACGCCAAAATACCAAGCGTAGACGAGGAACGTTGCCTGAGGGCTCCATGGCGCTGTAGAGGGGCGCTGGCCGCGAGTGCTCTAAAAGATGATAATGTCGTGAGTGCCAGAGGACGGACGCAGGGATGCCTCCTCACGGCTGTAGAAAAAAGAAAGGAGGAAAGAGAGAAGCATGCTGCCGACAAGGACGGTGACCCGGCCTCACCAGCTCTGAGCGCTTGGGACTTGAAATTTGACATGCACGGATGAGACGCTAGCCTCCAGGCCAATCTCTGAGCACATGCACGGTTGCTGGTGCCCCCATTAAAAAAAATCGGACAAGACAACCTGCTACCTGCATCGCTATCAAGAGAGAAGAGAAAGTGCATGACACGGCACAGAGGACAGACAGAGATAAGACCGAGGCAGACAGAGGTAAAGCAAAGGAGGAGGCGCTGGTCAACTACCACAGTCAGACGAACAGGACATAAAGGACAGTGCAGCATGGCCGGCAGCGCAACACGGTGCGATAGGAAGGAATTGAATAGTTTTTAAATTCTAACTGTGATTTTTGAGCTATCATATATATATACTACCGAATCACTTTTACTTACCAAAACAAGAGTTGTATTTTTCTCAATTAAACTTACGCTCCCGATTTACTCAAATACTAAATACAAAACTTGAGCGTTTAATTTGAGTCCGCGAAACTAAGATACACAAGATTCGCTTATCACTTCACGTATGTTTTAAATCAAAAATTCCGAGAAACTCGTTACGAAAATTTTACTTAGGCCTAAATCGCGACGCTAAATAAGATCGTAACACCGGGGTGTTACACTCTCACAGAGGCGGATAGTCCTTGAGCTCAAGTGCCAAAACCATTTTCTTTTGGATTTTGTTTGAGGTAGCCATGTTTTCTTTTAAAAAATTCGAGCACTATTTCAATTTGTGCGACGATTACAAGTTAGAAAAAAAAAAGCTGCTAGATGTCAGTTGTAGGGTAGCAGCATCATTTTACTACTAGCCTTGGTTTGCTCCCCCGATCCTAGAATAATGACAACTTATTTTGAGATAGAGTATTTTTATTTCTATCTGTTACATGGCACATCATGTCAAAATGCACCATCAGCACAGGCTGACTTAAGTATTTCACTCACAATCTACCTCACAAAGGCAACCACCTACGTGAGTGACGTTCGGAAGCCTGAAATATTTATCATGGCACGATGACCAACATTTAGTATCATCACATTTGCCCTGGCTGGCTATGAAGTTTTCTGCCACAATATGGTGTAGCACTTGCAGCAACGCCTCGAACATAAATAGAGCAATAGTAATAGTTTAGTTGGTATGCAGAAGTGAGTATAAATTGTAATACTGTACTGAGGCAAGAAACGAACTTGAGCACAATGTGAGGAGGAGAATGTAATAAAGAGCAAAATATGCCGCTCTGGTTTGCCATAATAATGTTGTTTGCTACCTTTCAGCTCTACTGTGATTTTGGTTTGCAAATGAGCTTAGTTTTGGGGGTATAAATAGGATCTAGTTGGTGAATTTTAAAGTAATGGTTGTATATCTAATCTAAACAATTATTAATGCATGCCATCTAATATGCTTCATAATTAAGAGTTTCTTGTATCTGTAGTCTTGTAATAGCAGATTTATCAAGGAAAATTATATAATTAATTCATGCTTATCTCAAGAAATCAGCTAATGTGATGCATAATCTCATGATGTTGAATGGGTAGTAGTGCACTAGTTTAGTACTCACTCACACTCTGCCCACAGATAATAAATAACAGCTAGTGAAGTACTCCACTACTATTAGGGCACCCACAATGGGTGGCTCATAAGCTAGCTCTAAGCATTTTCTTCATATTTTAATAGAAGAGAGAGAAAAGCTGGCTCTTGATTAAGAGCTAGGCTCATACACACATTCCAATAACATGTGAGAGTGTCCCGTATGACTAATCATATTATGAGTCATTGCTAAAAGCTAATACTATTGAAGAGGTTGGCTTAGAGCAAGTAGCCGATTCTTACTGTTGCGGGTGCCCTTAAAAGTTTCTTAAAATATGTGCCGCTAGTTAAGAGTTCCTTAAAACATGTACTACTCGTTAGTACAAAAACTATTTCTACTGACATTCAATCATCCAAAATCATCTTGTTTCTAGGCGTTCGGCTGGTCATGTCCCGGTTGGTTCCCGCTTGCTTCAGCTTGTTTCAGCTTATTTCCTCTCACAGAATACTATTCAATCATCCAAAATCAGCCCAAAGGCTACCAGCTTGTTTCAGCATATAATTTGATCTCTATTGATGTTAGTTTTTTACCGTCAGTGTGACCCCAAATTGGTTTTTACTGGCAGTCTACCGCCTAGAAACAAATTCTAAACACTCAGATGTAAAAAATACAAAAATAAAAATTGAACTTGGGCCCAAACCCCTCAGCCACGCCTTTCACCTACAACGTTATATGACTTTTTGTCGTAAATCCAAAGTTGCGCGTTCTCCAGGATTCGAATCAAATCAAAGAACCTTAACACTTGCTCGATCCTTCCCTGCCATCCCACTACATAGATGCTACTGATAATAATACAAGAATCATTCCTTTCTCCCATCTAGTGACGGTTTTCTTAATCATACCTCCTATAGAAATCATTTTCGCTGGCAGTTGACTTAAGCACCCTCTTCTAAAAATCATTCAAAAAATATCCCATCCTTCTCAAGTGGTATCCATGTTGGATAAACAACATAAGGTCCCAACCAAGTTAGCAATTTACACTTGCGTGAAGTTTATATTTACCAAATTACCTTGAAATTTAAATTTAATACTATGTTTGTGTGGTTGTCATCAATTACCAAAATAGAAGAGATTGAAAGACCTAAGTTTAGTTTTGGTAATTGAATGACAACCAGTAAATTAATGCTTTCAATTGAATTGTGATTGAGTTAGGGTCCACATGGAGTGGTGAGCAAGGCTAGGAGATGGATAAGAGGAAGATCATGCCATATATATAGAGCAATGCCACACGTTGGAGAGATGAGTAGACGAAAACAGGCCCAAAGAAGTATATGCAAGGGGTTTTCATTTTGCCTGTCGAGATGCAATAGAATGTGTGGTTAGGTTTAGGATAGAAAGTCTTAGTATTAAGAGGGGAACTCTAATGCAAAAATGGTTATCTAGTGCCACTAGGTTTGAACTAACTTTGCATATGCATTCGACCTAGTGACACACTGAGATGGAACTGAGAACTATTTCTGAAAAGCTAACTCAGTGCCTAAGGTGAAGGTGTTCATGTTGAAACACATTGGAGTTAGCAAATTTGAAACGCTTGCGGAAAATGGGACTTAGTGCAATCTGGTTGCATGCATTGGATTTATCTGGTGCCCCTAGTGGGCAGGTCACCGAAGAAAGCCGAGTGTTTAACAGGCTAGGGTTTGCCATAGTATTTACCTGGTGGTCACCCACTAACCCTCAATGGAGAATGCGTAGAGTTTTTAAAATGGGGTACACACACGTAATGAACAGTGGAGGCACCAGATTTCTGGTGGTCACCACCATACTTTTTTTCAGTGGTGCCTTGGAGCTCTTGCTGTTGGCACCTGAGAGGTTCTGGGTCAGTGTATTAATCCAGTGACCTTCATTGGAGAAGCACGGGAGTAAATGAAATATAGCCGTTGGAGTTCCAGTGGCTAGTTGCTGGGAGTCGAGGCTCTGAGGAGCCACCGAATAAGTCCGATAGTACCTCTCTAATAGGCACCGGAGGAAGCGGTCACCAATGGTTATATCAGATTTAATCTGGACCATTGGATCCTTATAATCGTTCCTTCAGTGGGTGTTTTTCGGTGGTCACTGAACTTTTCCAGTGACCCTTAAAACAACCCACCAGCACAGTCCAACAACTAGTTTTGAGTGGGGGTTTATAAATAGGGGATGGCCAGCCCTTTGAGCATTCTCTTAACATTCTAACTGAACTATACATCTCTTGTGAGCTCAAGAACACCTCCTACTCACTCTCTTGCTTGATTGCTCATCCAAAGTGAGATTTAGGAGAGATCTGGTGCATTTGCTTTGTTGATTTGCATCTACTGGCAATAGTTCACCCGTTGTTGACATACAAACCTCGGCACGGAAGAAGACTATGACTTCGACGAGGAAGCGTACCACGAGGACTAGGATTTCCGTAAGGAGATACGTTCGTAGGAGTATGACATCGAGGCTAGGGTTTCGGCCATGCTCAAGTTGCATGTGGAATATGACACCGCTTTGTTGTATAATAATCCCGCTATAGAGACCACCAATAATACCGTTTCATGGCCGTAGTCTTCCGCTAGATATGTAGCCTATGACCATGCCCCTTGGGCCACTGTCGTAAGACCTTATTTCTAGATATCAATAAAAGCTTGAAACCTTTTATTATATATCTGTGTACCATTCTTGTGATTTTGTGCGTGATCCTGGCGCAAATACGGATGCACGTAGGACTCTCAAATTGAGGGGCTGACAGAGTGGTATCGGAGCCGAGCTTGACCGTAGGACGAAGCCCTAGGATTGGAACACGTTAGGTAGTTTTATAGCTATAGTAACAGCCATAGACCTAATAACAATATAGCTGATGAACTTTTCTCATTGTCGTTTCTCATTTGTGTCGCAAAATGTTTCTTACCCCTGTGGTGAATTTTTGCAGCAATGGACGACATATGGGAACGTTCGGATTGTTTGACCATTGGAGGATTCCCACCGCTCCTCTAGGAGACACTCCAGTGCTTGGGTTACATTGAGCCTCCCATGTACTACTATTGCGAGTGCGATGTGGAGGGTGTACTCAAGTGCGAGATGCACCTGCATATTACCAAGCATCCAATAAACACTGAGTTCAGAGTTAGATACATCCCAACAATCGGAAAAGAACTAAGGGACACATGTCAGATTGCAGCACGACGGGCTCTCATGGACATTTGTCAGGAATATGAAGCAAAAGTCAACAACACTCATGCAAAGTTCTTCCTAGTGATGGATCAGACTTCTCTTGTTTGGCGTAAGAATATTAAGGCAATGGAAAAGGCGAAACCACAAGCGCTAGAAGATACTCTCATGACTACAGCCAAGTACCTACATGCCCTCGACATTCTCTATGAGAATCAGGAAGTGGAGCTAAAGATAAAGAACACTAAACCCAAGGAAGCAGAAGCCAAAGTACAAGCACTAAGGACAGAGCTACTCATGCTAAACTCACAGCTATCAACCATGAGAGAAGAAAAGGAACAATGCAAGCAAGAGCTATAGAAGGCCCTTGAGCGCCCAAAGGCGAGGAAAAGAATAAGGAGAGCTTACCGAAGAATCAACCACCCACAACAACAAGAAGACCGCTGGGGATGCAAATACCATCGGACCCTCTCGAGTGCTTCTTAGGACTTGGATGCTAAGGGATATACATGTGGACCTCATGATGGGACCTTCACGGGATACAATTCATGTATAATAAATAAGGGAACTGTAGTGACTAGTGTAGCGTCTAGTATCCCGAGTAGTAGTAGTACGCCTAGTGTCGCTTCGATGTCATTAGAAGTACAAGTTGTTGCGTAGTAATCACTCTAGCAGTTGCTGTATGATGCACCCTTGTATCATATCTGTATGACTGTTCGTGTGATATGTATTGTGTGTTTGTTATGCTTGGGTGTTTTTGCTTGCTTGTTATTTTATTTTCTTGCACCCAAATCCTAGAGGATGTCTTCTCATCCTTGCCGCTCCATGGCAATAGATGAAAAGGAGGTCCGATAGGATTCGGGATCGCCGTGAAAGGGCCGTCGAAAGGTAGGTTCATGAGGAAGAAGAGCCAGTTGCACCACAACCTAGAGGCAGGCAAAACATAGGCAATCTTGAACATCATAATCGTAGGCATGGGCATGAGCAACCACCAGAAGATAATATCCCGATTGTAGAAGAAGTACATGAAGAAGGAGAAGAAGAAGTTGAGCATAATATTGGAAATGTCTATATGGGTGGTGTAGGTAGTGGAATATCAGGAGCCAACATGGGGAGAGGTTTTCTTCCGTGGTCCGATTGGTGTGGATGCTATGTGATCTTCCACGTTAAGCTTTTGGTTTTTGGCTGTGTTCGAGCCCTTGATTTTCTTGGCCATGTTCGAGCCATATTTTCTTTTGTGATGATTTGGTATCATCATGTTGGGGGATTTGGTATCTTCTTGGTTTTTATGTTCCAACCCCTGAGAAGTCGTAGTAGAGTTATATAGACATCTAAGGCCGCGTACATTCGGGTATGAAGTCTCATTAGGTCTATTTCGTCCACTGATCATGGATGAGGTTGCACCTATCATGTGGGGAAATTTATACACCTCTGCAAAGTTACTTAAACATTTTCGAATAGCTACATCCTTGGAATGGACAAATGCTAGGATGAGATACTATGATTAGATTTACTTTTATGTGTAATAAAACCAGTAATGGAATTGATGCTAATCCGGGTACTAGTGGGAATGGTAATACTCTGCTAGGACCCAACCCTTAATTATAATCACCACCACATTTATATTTCCACTCTATTGTTAGCACTTGCTGAGTACGTATGTACTCACCCGTTGTTGACACACAGACCTCGGCATGGAAGAAGACTATGACTTCGATGAGAAAGCGTACCATGAGGACTAGGATTCCCGTAAGGAGATATGTTCGTAATAGTATGACATCGAGGCTAAGGTTTCGGCCGCGCTCATGTTGCCTGTGGAATACGACATTGCTTTGTTGTATAATAATCCCGCTCTAGAGACCACCAATAATGTCATTTCACAGTCGTAGTCTTCCGCTAGATATGTAGCCTATGACCATGCCCCTTGGAACACTGTTGTAAGACCTTATTTCTAGATATCAATAAAAGGTAGGAACCTTTTATTATATATCTGCGTACCATTCTTGTGATTTTGTGCATATTTGTGCGTGATCCTGGCGCAAATACGGATGCACTTAGGACTCTCAAATTGAGGGACTGACAATTATTGAGGGCCTTGTTGGTGATTGTTGGGTGCCTCGCTCGATTGATTTGTAAAGGGCTCTTATGCTCGTCCGTGTAGGAGATTGCAAAGAACAACTCTAGTGGAATGCTCAAGGCTAGTTGGAGTGCTTTTTGTTGAGTTGATTCTTGCGGCACCCAAGTTGAGGGTCAAGATTATTGAGAGGCTTGTTAGCGCATGAATCATTCACCTAGAGACTCGCCTCAATGAGGATGTAGGTTGGCGGCAAGCAACTAAACCTCAGGGATAAATATGGTCTCCCTTTTACCACGGTAGTTTGCAACTCTACACTTGTGCATTACTTTCTTATTTATTAGCTTGTGTAGTTGTTGTTCGTGATGCTCTCTAGTGTGGTAGTAGCTCTAGTTAGTAGAGTAGCTAGCTTTAGTTGTTCTCCTTGTTTAGCTCACTAGGAGTGCTTTTGTTTAGTTGCTAGCCCCTTGCTTAGTTGAGTGCTCTAGTGGTCGATCACCTCATTACTATAATTGTTTTGGAGGCCTGCATTGGGTGCATTAGGTTAGGGAAAGTAGTGGCTATTAGGTTCCAATTTTATACTAATCACTTTGCTCTAGCTTTTGTGGAATTATAGAGAAAATTTTAATGTCTATTCACCCCTCTCTAGCCAGATCCTTACAGTCTCCCAATGTGGCTAAATCGATCCAAAACCAAAGAGTGAGTGTGATGGACCCTGAGTATATATGACCACAAAGAAGGTAACCTCAACTTCCACCATTGTAGCACCATCATAGTTCAAGGAGGTGATAATTTTCTTGGGTTCTCTTTAGCACATGTGTAGGTGGAAGAAACAGGTGTTGGCATCCCGTTTAGCAAGCCAAAAAAAGAGTGTCCATTGGTGAGTGCTTTTATTCTCAAGAGACGTCAGGCCCAAGATCACAGAGACCTAAACACATCAAAAAGAAAGCTAGAGCCACAACCTAATAATCCATAAAATTGCGTAAACCCAACCCCTTAGCAAGCCTCTAGGGATTTAATGAAAAAATGGGAGCCCTCAAATAATCTATTGTTTTTAGATACATTATCTGAAAAATATACACGCTATGATAGTTGCTATAGTTGCAACATCCTACATAAGGGGACAATGATGGCAATTGGAGCTTGCATTGCTCCTAATCTTCTATCAGCATGAAAACATATGGATCTATACATCAAACGAGAGAGTGTATCCTATGCGTTCAATACTACACATAAACCATAGTCCCTACCAGCCATCACTGCTGGAATTGAAAACCCCGACATAAATAGGGATACCCCTGTTGATTTTAAGCAAAAATAATATTACTGTCGGATTTTAAAGCCAATCAACAATGATCAAATAATTATCACTGCCAGGTCGTATTACCAACTGGCAGTGATCCCTAGTACTAGGACTCAAAATTTTTATTCAACATGTATGTCCGCATCCTTATCCTTGTCTCTCACCTCTTTCACTCTCCCTCCTTAGATTCACTTCTCTCTCTCCCCTCTCTTGATCCGTTCAAGGCTTCAAGCTCTCCACCCTCTGAGACTCCCCTCGTCTCTCCTTTCCTTGGCTTTGGCATAGTGCACGTCGACGATGGGTGTAGGTGGCCCGGATGTATGCATGTCTCTCTCTCCCCTCTCCTGATCCCGTTCAAGGCTTCAAGCTCTCTACCCTCCGAGACTCCCCTCCGCTCTCCTCTCCTTGGCTCTGGCATGGGGCACAACGACGATGAGCGTAGGTGGCTCGGACGTAGGCATGTCTCTCTCCTCCAGATATCCTCCCCTCCCCTCTCCTCCTCCCATCGCCTCACCTTAGTGTGCGAGGCGTGGCCGCTGCAGGCACAATATTTTTTTCCATTTTTTGTTTTGTAAAATGGGCATCACGGCCGGGTGAGGAGATGATAGTGAAACACTAACGTCAACACTTTCGATTTCCCACTATACTGGATCAAAATCCGGTAGTGCAAGCCAGTTTTGAGGCGACAATGATTGCTAGATTTGGGATAGTGGTTCCTATTTTGAGAAATACCATCAAAATACAGATGCAAAAAATAAATCAAAATGATAGATGTATAAAGGATACGGTGATATGTATATGTTCATACAAGATTTAAGATTGAAGAAGCTTTTGTGCAAGGAGAAAAAGAGGACAAAAATCAACATTCACTCGACCTGGAATGGTTGCAGATGTAGATTAAAGTACAACGAGTCCAGTTATATGCTGATATTATCTTCTTATTGTTTCGCTGTAAAGAAAATATTTTTCGAATCTGTAATTTTGCATGATGAGCACAGATCATTGCATCATTTATCCATTTATATTTTTCTTTGATTTTTTCATACAAATTTTTGTTGTTGAAATGGGAGTACGAGCATGCGATGGCTTGGCAGCACAGGATACACTCTCTCGATCAAATTAGCATATGGTACATTCGCCTACAGAGGCAGTACGTTTAAACGACAAGCTTAATGTTGAAAGTTTTACTACTTTTCTGAAGTCTGAACTAGTCTGTGGTTCGTCTAGAGTACCAAAAGCCCATGGGCCATGGCCACGGCACAACGGCGAGCAGCCGAGCAGGACACGCCACGGTACTCACTACTCAGCGTCTCAGCCTAGCAATGATTGTGACTAATAAAAAAGCCTTCCTTTATTATCAAAGAAACACACTAGCATCGCTGTTTTTTCCATCAAAAAAGCGCCGGATGAGAGCTCCATCTCAGCCACGAGAAATTTCCAGCCTCTCGCGCCCACGGCCGCCGTCTCTGATCTCTTTATCCACGTGGCGCCCTCCCACTGGGCATCTCACCACCACGGTACCACCTGTCCACCTCCTCATCCGGTCATCCCCCATCGGCCCCTCCCCTGTGCCACTGCCCACTGCCTCGTCGCCCCGTAAACCCCGGGCCTCCGTCTCCCCGCCGCTCGCCGCTCGCCGGAGGCCGCCGCCGCCACCGTTATGCCATGGCCGTCATCCTCTCCTCTGCGGCGCCAACGACACTGACTCCTCCCGCGCGCCCCAGGAGGCAGCCAAGGACGAGCGGCCTCCGCGGGGGCCTCGCGGCGCGCCTCTCCGGCGCGCTCGGCCTCGCGCACGCGGGCGCCGGCGCCGGCGCCGGCGCCGCACTCGCCGCGCCGCTCTCCTACGAGGAGGCGCTGCGCCTCTCGTCCGACTCCGGCGGTGACGGGGCCGGGTTCGCGCTCCCGGACCTCGACCTCAACCTCAACCTCGACGGGCTCGTCGACTTCGTCAACGAGAACCCTCTCGTCGTCGCGGCAGGCGTCGCGGCCGTCGCGCTGCCGCTGCTCCTCGCGCAGATTCTCGGCGGCGGCGGCGGCTCCAAGCCGTACGCCGTCGTGTCCGCCAGGGCGGCCTACCAGCGGCTGCTCGAGGAGCCCGACGCGCAGCTCGTCGACATCAGGCCGCTCAAGGACGCACGGGAGGCCGGCACGCCTGATCTCAAGGAGGCCAAGAAGAAGGCGGCTGCCGTGCCGTACAACGGGAGGACAAGAACGGATTCTTGAAGAAGCTGACACTGAGGTTCAAGGACCCGGAGAACACCACGCTGGTCATCCTTGATAAGTGAGAACCTCAGATCCTGGTTAATAACTGCAATGTGCTTGGTCGTTCTGTGTAGATGCTTCTAATTGTTCCCCGGTTGGATTTATTAACTCCTTATCACAATTTAAGGAACCAATTTTGCTGCATTTCATTCAAAACAGCATGCCAAGGAATAGCTATGGTGTTAGATCCTCAGCATGGTCACTTCTGATTAGTCTATGGTAATGAGTCCATATCGATTTTAAAGAACCAATTCTGCAGAGTAGGTATATGCACTCTTGGCGTGTCAAAATTTCAAAAGTTAAATTAACTTGAAATTTAGTCTGTTTTCACTTCTTTTTGGGGATCAAAGATTGTCGTCTCAAATCCTCCTAATTATGAAAATTTTGACTGTCACGGAATCAGTGGATAGTTGATTTTTCTTAACCATTATAAAATTATTTTGCTGATAGAGCAATGCAAAAGAAAGTTATTAGTGAAAACCAGAAATGATGCTTCAAATCTGGAAAGCTGAACAGTTCTCATGTACAGAGTACTTCGCAAATGTAGTAAGTATTCTAGATGATGACTTGAACAAACTGATTTGTTGGATTGGGATTGTAGCAAGTAAATAGTTACTGCAGTTGTATATCACTTAAAGAGTGGACATGTGAATTACATGGAGAGTTAATAATTAGATACCTGTCCTTGAAAAGACCAGCAAGGTGTTATATTCAGAATTAGTGATACCTCTGTCTCAAGAAGAAGACTGAGCTTGTATTTTCATATTAAATTGTGAGTACTTGTTGGTTCGTCATTCTACCATCACTAGTATAGTGTCACAATATTTTTCTTAACATTTATATGAATATTGTGGAAGTCAGATTTGATGGGAACTCCGGACTAGTTGCTGAGCTTGTCACAGCCAATGGTTACAAAGCTGCTTTTGCGGTGAAGGATGGTGCAGAAGGAAGCCGAGGATGGAAGGTATTTGATGCTTTAGGTGGCTTGTGTTTGCTGCCGTATAACATCTTTATCCACTCAACAAAGTTTCACCATTTGCTAGTGTCCCACTGCAGAGCAGTAACCTTCCCTGGAAGGCTCCTGCAAAAGGATTCAGTTTTGACTTGGGCGAGCTATTTGGGGTAAGTTATCATCTTGACCTTTTTTCGTTACTCTGTTTGAAATTATATTGTAAAAATTATAAGGTTTCAATGCATTGATTTTGGAAACTTTTATTTCTGTGACTGTTGAATGCTGAATCTACTAAGTAACTTACAGGATGGTTCAGATGGTTTGCCTGTGACAATTGGTCTCGCTGCAGCTACTGGTTTGGGAGTACTTGCCTACACAGAGGTAACTCTTGGTGTGTTTCTTTTCTTCAGGTGTTGCTTTGTTTCCATACACATCATGTGTGATCTATCCTGCAGATTGAGACTTTGCTACAGTTTTTGGGGTCAGCTGCTGTTGTTCAGCTAGTGGTAACCAAGCTCTTGTATGCCGAGGTACATATTTATTTCCTCTCTTCTCTTGTTCAGCTTACTTCCCCAGCCATACTTCAGTGGACCTGTTCTTAAAGCAAAGTCAGGGGATGTCCTTCCTCCCTGATTGAGGTTTGAATAGAAGATTATTTTCAATCATGAAACCTTACATCTATTTATTATGCTCACAGGATCGACAGAAGACACTTAAACAGATCGATGAGTTCTTTAACAAGAAGGTTGCTCCAAAGGAGCTTGTTGACGAAATAAAGGTAGCTAGCCATCATCTTGAGCAGTTATTGTTAAATATTGAAATGTTATATTGTTCACATAGATCCATGTTCACTTCTCCAAGAGTGTATGGCTATGCATAAATGAGTTATCTGAAGATTGCTAGTACCATTGAAAATGGAATCTGCAGAGTACAAACCATTTTTTGTGGATTATGTACTCTTATGGTCGAATGACTTTATAGTAATTAGAATTTGAAGTGCCTATCTGAGCTGGAGACCTTGGTTGCCTGTTGATAGATTTGAAATGCATGGCCACTGGGTTACACTGAACACTTGTGGCTGCATATCTAGTTTTATCCAGCACCGCTATAGTCCCTTTCTCAGATAGGAATTTTTATTGATGATTTGCAATAATTTTGTTTAATGTTGCGTTTAGACCCATGATATTTGTTTTATTATTAAAAATCTATTATCTCACGGCTTTGTTTGAAGAGAAAATCCATGTTTTTCCTGAAGTACAAGAAAATAATGATCACTTAAATTTGTCAATAACTTTGGAGTTTTCTTACAAACAAAGTAAAACCTATTCAAAGGTTCCTTCTTTATTTCGAGCTATGTGATATTTTGTAATATATTGTTTGGCCAAATGTGATGTATTACTATTGGTGCTGAGCAATATGTATATGGTGTAACTAAAATGGTCTTTATATGGCATTGAACATTTTCCCATATAATAATTTGTAATCTTTCCATGAATTGTTTTCCTATATGTAGTATAAATTATTGGCAGTGCTCCTAGACACTGCACATACATTTCCTGTGAAATGACTAAAATATTGCCAAGAAACTCCATTGGCAATGGAACTGTTACTGGTGAAATTCAATTAGAATTATTGTTTTTGAAGTGCCTTCCTTCTGGAGTTGAGCCAGCCAACATTGTTTTCCATAGAAAATGGTTTTTGAATATGTCATGCCAAATATTTATGGTTTACAAAATTCCTTTGTTCCATCTACAGGAAATTGGGCAGGCTCTACTACCTTTACCTGGTGATGCTAAAAACCAACCAGCAACAGCGACTCCAGTTGCTGCCACACCAACAGCTGCACCAACAGAAGCTGCTCCTGCTGCTGCCACACCAACACCTCTTTCACCTTATACAAATGTCAGTGTAAACCTGATACTTTATAGCCATTGCACAAGTGAGCCTGAATGCCCATGCCATGCTCATTACTCTGCAATTGGAATTCCATGCAGTACCCAGATCTCAAACCGCCGTCACCCCCTGGCAGCACTGTGACTGAAGGCCCAGCAGCGGTCAATTCTGCACCTGTAGCAGACGCTAGCACGGAATCATCTCCTCCTTCTCCTACCCCCAGACCTCAGTCACCTTACCCTAATGTGAGTGTAAACTGAAACTTCTTAGCCATCTGTGTAAAAACACCATTTGCATTAAGCTATGCTCATCATTCTTCGATCTGTGTGCAGTATCCAGATTTCAAGCCACCGTCCTCGCCTTCGCCGTCACCACCTTAATTAGGCAAGAGTAAAAGAAACCGGGTCTAGAGGATATTAAAGAAGTTGAATTGTTCATATGGAGCCGCCATCTCACCAAAGGTCTATGTTGTACTATGAGCCTGACAGTGTGTCTATTAGTCACTGTGGCAAGTTTTCTGCAGCAGTAAATGTATATGATGTAATTTCCAGTGATAATCAATGTGCTCTGATTTTCTTTTTGTTGTCTTATTTTTTATACATGTAAATGTCGAATTACTAGTCGCGAGAAATGAGAGTTCGAGCCTATAGAGCTTGATATGTTTGACCAAAGTAAATGTGTTTTCAAAAAACAGGAAAGTCAAGTGCTCTGTGGGGATGGTTTTCTGTAAGGATCTTCTATGCAATAGTTTAGTACGCATTGACTGCGATATTGTAATGCAAAGACAGCCTTCCACGGGGAGCGATCCGATGGCCAGAAAGACAGTCGTTCTCTGTGTGCTGCGGCGGCCGGTGGCGTTGAGGACGAGGGTGGCGGCAGCGGTTGGGGCTGGGGCACGCGATCCCTCCTCACCAGTCCCCGGCGAACGGCGGCACCGCGTAGATCCAGCAAAGGCAGTGGAGGAGGCGAGATCCGGGTCGGACCCCTCCTCCCCGACCCCTCTTCCAACGTCGTCATGCGCGTCGAGCTCCGCAGTGGCGCCATCGGGTGCGGGGAGGCGCCTGTGCTGCCCTCAGTCACGGCCGAGGACCAGCCCGCAGCGCTCGACGCCGCGGGACGGGCGTGCGCCGCGCTCGCCGACGCCCCCGCAGTGCACTCACTGAGTGTAGCCCCTGAGCCTCTTGCTGTTTGGAACAAAGAGTTGGAGGGTCTTGTCTGTAATTCCTTTTCGAAGAAATTTGACTGTATCCTCTGAGGATATATATCCCGTAGCCCTCGAGCCTACTTGGTAGTCGATTATAGGATCTTGTAGACGTCCTCAAGGGTGCAACCGAGTAACCTCCCAGGACAATGGACAGTGACTGCTTGTCGCCGAGTAGTTGAAGGCTTGTGAATTTGATCTTCCATTCTTGAATTCGAGCCCCTGAGCGTAATCGGAGTGAAGCTGAGTAGGCCATGATAATGGCCGAGCCCCCGGGCTTAGTGCCGTCATGTTCACTTCGCTGAAAAGTACTGTTCGTTGATTTGTTGTGAGAGAAAAATACTGTACCATGGTTGATAAGTTCAAGTGAACAGGGCTAAGTCGTGGAGGTGAACAAGCCTGTGAAGTAATCGCCGAGTAAAGCAACGCGAAGAGCGTGCCTCGCCCAACGGAGTAGTGGTTTGAGTAAGGCAGCCCACGGAGGCACGTACCTCACCCAGCAGCATGGTCCAGTTCTGGTCCCCTGAAAGATAAAAATATAAAATTGTAGCTATTGATATTTAGGATATCAAGTTAGGAGCAGGTCCCATGCATGTAAAATAATAGGTCGGGAGCGGATCCCAGCATTATGAAATGTATGTAAATTTTTTCGCGTCTTGCTCTTGCTAGGCTGCGTAAATTCCTTGAGTAGTTAATCCCATATGTGTAAGCACTTGTATCTCCAGCGTATGGTCATGAGGTTCATGACCGTGACCGTATAAGCCGTGCGAGTAAATGCGTCACAAATATGAGTTCGTACTACTCAAGTAATTTCACAACCGTTAAGAGGAGACTAGAGCAGTCGGCGCTGCGTGAAAAAAGAGAATACGCGTGGAGTGCATGTTGTCCTAACTACTAGCACGGAGTTGCGTGGATAGTTGAGAATGCAATTATGGTATAGCCACGGAAGCACATGTATAATATCTAGAGATACGATTAAAGAATATTTAGAAAAATATTAAAATTTGACTTACTTGATTGATGGCCGAGTAGAAAGCGCGATCCTGATGTTTCGGGCACCAGCTTAGTCGTCAAGTCCGAGTAGTCCAACATCTTAGCCGAGTAGTCGGTCACCGCGATGGAGCAGTCGGTTGTTGTGGCCAAGTAGTCGGAACTTATCGTCGGAGCTAAGTATAGATGTCCATGCAGCCTGAGGCCTGGTGGCCCGGCACGAAGCCCGCAAATTTGGCCCGGCCCAAGCACGGCCCGACCCGGTGGTGTGCGGGCCCGGGCTAGCCCGGCCCGATAGAGCAGGCCGTGCCTAGGCCGATACTCAAGCCCGTGGGCTGGCACGACACGGCCCGATTTTAAGGGGTCGGCCCGACAGCGGCCCGAGTGGTGAAGCGGTCCAGCGCCAGCGCGCAGTGGACAGCGGCGAAGGCGCGAAGCGGCCCAGCCCACCCACGCGCCCATCACCCCCCCGCGCGGCACATATAAAAGCGACGTCCGCGGGCGTCCCTCCTCAACCCTAACCCTAAATCATTTCCTCCCTCCCGGCTCCCCCACCGCCTCGCTGCTCTTGCGCTCGCGCCTCGCGGTCTCGCCTCTCGTGGTCTCGCCTAGCTCTCCCTCCTCAACCCTAACCCTAAATCATTTCCTCCCGGTTAGCCGGCTCCCCCACCAGCCACCGCCTCGTCGCTCTCGCCGCTCGCGGTCTCGCCTAGCTCTCGCCTCGACCGCTCGATGGTCGACACCTCGCTGTCTCGTCTACAGTCTACTGGCGTGTGACCTCGCTGACTCCAACTTTGCCTATCGCTGGCGACCTTCCCTGATCCCCACCCTCTCTGCCTCTCCCTTCTCCATCTCCCTATCTCCCCTCTAGATCTCGGTGATTATGTGAGTTCGTTGTCCCTGTCTGTCCCTCCTCCGCCACTTGCCGTCCTTGCTAATCGGTGTGTCGTCTTCTCTGGGTGGCCGTCGTCTTCTCTGGCACCGAGCTCATGTTGCGCAGGTAAAACCCTAACCCTAACCCTAACCCTCCTCTTCTATCTTCTTCCATTGATGTATTCTGATGTGATCTTTTTATCCTCCTCCATCTCTTTGCGTAGGTCGGTAGCCGTTGCGTCGTCCTCTAGCTGTGGCATAGAGCGACCAAGGTGGCCCCATGCACCGTTGAGGAATGGTGTTGGAGAGCCGTCCGCCATGGCGGCTGCTGATGACGATATCGTCTGGCCATTCACCGGCAATGACGACTTGATCGCGGTAGGTCTGGCCCCTAAGAACAACGATGACACTAGAGAGGACGTTGCTGCGATGTTCGGTATCGATGTCAGTAGCGGCTTTGCTGCTCCGACTCCGATCGATCTGGACGGCCACGGTGGTGAAGGGGCGACGGCTATTGGGAACCCGCTAGGCTCCAACTCCAACAGCTCTGCTCCATCTGTTGCTGGTAACTCTAATATTGGTAAGCATAAATCACTTGTGTGGGCTGATTTTGATGAGATATATGAGACTGTGAATGGTAGGAAGATTTGCACTAAAGCTACATGTAAAATGTGTAAGCAAACATTGTCTGCTAGATCTAATGTCGGCATTGGCCACTTGAAGAGGCACCAGAAATCTTGTAGGTAGAAAATTGATAAACGTGCTAGGGTTCAGTCTAGGCTTGCTTACAACCCTGATGGTTTTGTGCATAATTGGGACTATAAACCTGATGTTGCTAGATCTGAGTTGTGACGCTTGATTGATAGGCTTGATCTGCCATTAGGTATTGGTGAAATAGAGGCCTGAGAAGAGTATATTGTTTGTGCTCATAACCCTAGGTTTGTTAAGGTATCTAGATAGACCACCACTAGAGATCTTAGCAAGTTGTTTATTGAACGTCGTAATATTCTTAAGAACTCTGTATTGTCTGCTGCTTCCTCTGTTGCTCTGACATCAGACATTTGGTCTGGTAATGCTAAGGAGGATTGTATTAGTGTTGTTGCTCATTTTGTGAGTGCTGATTGGGAGTTACAGAAAAAGGTTATTGGGCTTAGGTTGATTGAAGTGAAACATACTGGTGAAAATATTGCTAAAAGAGTTGCTTGTGTGGTTGAGGAGTTTGGTCTGATTGATAAGGTTTTCTCTATAACTCTAGACAATGCTTCTTCTAATGCTAAGGCTATGGAAACTTTAAAACCTATGTTTGCTGGTTATTTGGGTCCTGATCTTACACCTGAGCCTGTTGATCCTTCTAAGCGTAAGTACAGTCTTGTGCATCAATGTTGTGCTTGTCATATCATTAATCTGATTGTAAAATCTGATTTAAAGAGGTTCAAACCTTACACAGAAGATTTTAGAACTGCTATTAACTTCTTAAATTCCTCTAATCAAAGAATTGCTATGTTTAAGAACTACTGTGCTGTTAAGGGTGTTAGACCTAGAAAGTTTGGCTTAGATATGGATGTTAGATGAAATGCTACATATCTTATGCTTAAACACTTGGTTCCATATAAGCATATTTTTTCTGTGTTCATTAATTCCAATTATGGCTCTAAATTATTGTTTGCAAGGTATTGGTATATAGCTGAAAAGATATTGGAGTTTCTAGAACTATTTTATGACTCCACTGTTGTTCTTTCTGGTGTCTACTATCCAACTAGTTCACTTATCCTGCACCATCTGCTAGAAATTGCTTCTCATTTCCATGCAAGTAAAAAAGATCAAAATCTAATTGCTGTTGTATATCCTATGAAGCTTAAATTCCTTAAATATTGGCATCATATACCTCTGTTATATTCATTTGCATTCATTCTTTATCTAGAGCTAAGATGAGAGGTTTATTTAGAGTGCTGAAATTACTTAAAGAGAGTACTGGTTGTGATTATACTTCATATTATGCTGATGTGAAAGCTGAAATTTACAAGTTATTTAACAAATATGAGAGAAAGTTTGGTCACTACTAGAAATCCTTTCATCTATGACGATTTCGGAATGACGATAATAGTTTTAGTCATGGAATAAGGTTCATTAGTGATGAAATTACGTAGATGGTCATAGATGATTGGTTTGGCCGTCAACCCCTTTGTTTAACTGTGACGAATTTGAAAGAATCATCATACAAGTGTTCTGTGATTCGTCATAGAAGTGAAAGAGAATAGTTTCACCATTCAGGTCCCACCTGTCAGATAATTATTTCGTCATAAAAGTAGAATTTAT